ACCCTCTGGACAGGCCTGGCACTGACAGGGCACTCTGCCAGCCTGCGTGTCCCTCTCTACGTGTGCTGCCGCGGTCACCCGGAGACCCTCTGGACGTGCCTGGCACTGTGTGACAGGGCACCCCTGTCTTGTGGCACCGGGGGTTGGAGTCAGGCCCTTGCGCTCGCCAGGCGAGCACCTGTTCCACTGAGCCATCTCACCAGCCCATAGGCATTGCCTCTTCATCACCCTGCTGTTTTTCTTTTTATTGGGGTCCCTATTTATTGCGTTTGGAGGTTTACAGTTGGCTTTATTCTGTATTTAGGACAGGGTCTACAGGGTGTTCAGGGCCTGACTACGTAGATTGGACTCGTACTGACTCTCCTGTTTACAGCTTCCCCAGTGCTGGGATTACAGGTGCACGCTAACAGGCCCAGTCTCAATGGCGTCTCAGCGTGTCCCGGGGGCGGGGCCGGCAGGGCGCACTGGGGATGGAACCCTGCTGCTGCGATCGGCCTACGCGGCCCTTAGTCTCCTGAGCTCTCAGGCCAGCGCTGGAGCCCTCGTCTTGTCCTCCTTGAGCCAACAAGGCTGCGTGACGTGCTGCACCACCCCTCTTCTGGGCCTCTTATGCCAAGGCGGCGTGACCACAGAGCACCATTAGCACGCGCTCCTCTCCTGAGACTCACATTTCCATACGGTGCAATTTACGACAATGGCTGATTCTTGCATTTTCTGTTTCTAGCTTTGGGGGCAGGAGGGGAAATCCAGTTTCTCTACGGTGCGAAAGTACCAGTTTTCTTCCTTCTTCTTTTCCCTCAGTACTGGAGACTGAACCCAGAGCCCTTGTAGAGTTACCAACCCCAGCCCTCTTTTTAATTTTTAGATGAGTTCTAGCTAACACTAAGTCACTCAGCCTGGCTTTGAACTGGCAATCCTCTTGCCTCAACTTCCCAGACTCCTGGGATGGCAGGCCTGTGCCAGGGCCCCCGCCGCCAGCTCCTTGAGGTAGACACAGGCTGCTTCCCTACCCCAGGAGGGTCCGTGGGGGGCGCTCCCACCCAAGGAAGCGCCCTTTTTGGTCGCCTGGCACAGTGACCTCAGATCCCTTAGCATTCAGCCCTACACTGCCCTCCAGACAGCTGCCGGATGTTCCAGACAACGTGATGTCCCCTGCCCCCCGGTCCCACTGTGTGGCTGCGGTGACCTGGCCCGTGCTCTTCCCCTCCTCGGTCATGACCCAGCGCCCTCAGCCCCCCGGCCTCCCCGTCTTTGCTCGGCTGCCCAGCTGTTCTGCTTCCTCCTGCTCACAGGCGCCCTCCCCCACGGAGGGCCCTAGGGACCGCTGCTGCCTGCAGCTCGGCTACTCCCTGCCTCTGGTCCCTTCTGGGTCTCCCAGGGCCTGTCTTGGAGCTGAGCCAGAGGCATGGAGAAGCGGGGCTGGGCTCGAGTGGCTTTCACACGCGGGGTGAGCGCTGGGGCAACAGCAGTTTCCTGGGGGTAGAACCAGGTAGACAGGCGGCGCTGGCAGATGGGATGTCAGGAAGCTGTCCAGACTGGCCAGGGCTGGACCCTGAGCCCTTTCGCTGTTTTCCCCTCCCGCCCATCTGAGAAGCAGGCGGCTTGTGACATGCACTGGCCCCTGGGAGGTCCCAGGCCACCCCAGCGCTGTCACATCCTATAGAGAGCCAGCTTTCCCAGGTCCTTGTCAAGGTCTGGGGAGTTTATATATGTAATCCCATGGAAAAGTAGCTGGAATTCTAGTGAGTGAGTCCAACCTCCCATGTCCAGGGCAGCCCATGGCGAGAGTAGAGACACCAAGGCCTATTTGGAGTTAGTTATGGGGAGCCAAAGGGCCTCCACCCAGGGCCGAGCTGGGCTTTACTCACTTGTGAAGAAGGAGCGGCCTGAGGCTGAGTGACTGTGAGAACGGCAGGAGCGGGCGAGGGCTGGGAGCTGGCCTAGGAGGAGGCCCGCGCCACCTGCCCGGCGCATGAGGACCACGCTGAGGAAGGGCAGGCTGCACTGCTCAGCTGAGGCAGTATCAGGTGCTCGGGGCTGGCGCTGCAGCGCTGAAGGGCAATGATTCCAGCCTCTGTCTCGAGGCTCCATCCAGCCAACAGCGCGGTGCACTGGCTCTGCACCCCGACTCAGGCCGTGGGACACAGGGTGGGGCCCCCCCGGGGAAACCCGCCTGCCATCTTCCAAGGCCGCCACCAGCACCTGGGCTGGACACCTGCGTTGCTTAAAGCCAGTTGAAGGGATAAGGGGAAGTCCGGGCCAGCTCCACACGTGTCAGTACGTGGACGTACGGTCAGCCTCAGCCAGCAAGGAGAGTGGCCCAGGTGGTGCTCCATGACACTCGGCCGACGTCTGTCCCAGTACGGGGTTCTCCTCTGTCCTTGACACAAAGCTGGGTAGGCCATGCCTTTCTGTGCACCCAGAGACCCCGTAGCTTTGCCCCCTCACCCTTCCACCCTAGCCCGGCCCCTGCCCATCCACACAGGCGACAGAGTCCACGTGTCGCCCCACTGTCCACACACTGCATGCTCACACACGTGTGTCCACTCACTCATGGTGAGCACTACCCAGGGCTTGCAGGGATGTGCAAATGGGGATCCCCTGCCCTCTCTGGAAATCCCCATGGGCTGTAGGCAGATCTCCGAGTTCCTGGGAAATGTGGGGGGAGGGCGCCCCTCACCGCCTTCCAGCTGTGCGGTGGGAGCCTAGGCTTCTATGCCCTTGGCTCCCTCCTACTGCTGTCCAGAGACTGGGGTGCCAGGCTCTTCCGGAGGGTGGGAAACCTTTGGGGGACTCTGTCCCTGAGTGTGGGCAGGTGTCAACATGCAGGACTCGGTGCCCACATGACCCTGTGATCTCATGCCTTCCTCCACAGCCCCATGATGTGCAGTCAACCAGTGACCATGAGGCTGGTGGGGCCAGCGTCACGCAGTATGACCTCTACTCAGGAAAAGTCCCTCTAGCATGCTGTACCCCCAGCTGACCCCCAGCGTCTGAAGCTGGGGTGAGAGGTGCTTCCTTGTAGGGGGCCCTGGCCCTGGCCCTGGCTCTGCCCCTGTTTGTGTCTGGCCATGCCATGGACACTCTTCCTGAGTGAAGAGGCGTGGGGTGGGTATGACCCCTTTGGCAGGTCCAGCGGGACCCTACACAGAGGCAGGAGGGACAGGCCTGGGACTGTGGAGGAGGACTGGTGCCAGTCAGGCCCTGGGAGGGGTTGTGGTGGGCCTGGATCTGACCTGGCCACACAGAGGCCACAGAGAGACCCTGGGCTGTCCAGGCTCTGGGCACAGCAGGGGGCGTTGAGGGCCCTCTCAGCTGTGCCTCACCAAGGGGACTGGGCTCCTCCCTGAACTCCCCCACCCACTGCAACTCCAGGCCTCAGAGGGAGCCATATGGCACCACGGGAAGCCTAGCTGGCAGTGGGTAGCAGGGAAGTGGGTTTGGCTGGGTGCCCTTTCTTCATGGGAGCCTTAAGCAAACACCCCCTTGGCTCAGAGGACAGTGGCGAGACCCTGGGTGCTCCAGAATGGCAAGGGACCCTCTATGCCAGAGTCAGGGTGGTCTCTGCGCAGCCCTGGCAGTCACCCCTTCCCTGAGCTGTGAAGACGGGCGGAAGTGACCCAAGCATGACCTGGAGGGGGTCAGAGGTTGCTGGAAGATACTGGTGTCCCGCAGGAGCTGAGGTGAGCAACGGGAGACTCAGGGTGTGCTGAACCCAGTGGCAGGCAGCAGCAGGCCTGCTCTGGAGCTTTTGGGTTGTGCAGAGGAAGCTTAGGGTGAGGATTCCCAGCAGGGTTGGTGGCTAAAACGCTCCTTCCTGCCTCCTGCACAGCCCCTCCTCTGCCCCTGGCTCCTCCCAAGCACAGGGCTGAGAACCGCCTTTCAGGGTGGGGACAGCACCCAACTGCTCTTGCTGTGGCAAGAGGTCATCCTGTCCCGCAGGCCAGCAGTGACCTGAGGGGTCAGCCTGGGGCATGGAGCATGGGGGGCTTCTCAGCAGGTGAAGGGTGGTGGGCTGCCCGGGCTTGCCAGTGGGAAGAGGCTGTGTCTTCAGGCTAGCGCCGATTTTAACTTTTGCTTTTACTTTTGCTTAGCTCCTGATGAGAACAGCTTTGCTGATACCTTACCGGGAAGCTCTGGAGGCCCAGAGCTTCCAGTGGTCCTGCTGGGGTGTGTGTGTGCGTGTGTGTGTGTGTGGGGGGGGGCTTCTTAGCAGAGCTGGGTCCTGACTGCAGTCATGGGGGCTCTGCCAGGCTAGGGGGCCTCCTGACTAGGGTCATGGGGGCTCTGCCAGGCTGGGGGCCTCGATCCTGGAACCCCGTGCCCAAAGCCAACACCCTGAGGCTGGTAAGTGCCCCATGCCCTTCTGTCCCTGTTTGCCCCTCCTGCTCCAGTGCCTAAGTGACCCCCCAGCCCTGGTCCCTTATGGGACATAGCCTTTGTCATCTGCATCCCTGCTCTGGAGCTGACCAGGTGGGGTGGTTCAGGGAAGAGCCACCCCCCTAGCAGACCTCTCAGCCTGTGACCCTGCAGGGGCAGGCAGTGTGGGGGAGTTGGCGAGGGGTGCTTCTTGGGAAGGGACGCTTGGCAGCCCTGAGCAGGAAGAGAGAGGCCTGCAGCTGGCTGTGTGGCGCTGGTATCTCCACCTGCAGCCTGAGATAAGTGGGTATTTGGGTAGTGTGATAGGGTCCAAGGGTTGGAGCTGGGTGGGAACAAGCTCCCTGCCAAGGTGGCTTCCTGCCCGCCCTGTGGGGCCGCTTAGCCCTGAGTGAGGTCCCGCGGGATCCTGGCCCAGCCTGGCTAGCTGCTCCTTCCCAGGGGACAGTGAGGCTAGCACCGAGCTACAGGAGGCCAGGCATGGCTGCCTGGGAGGGATCCCTGGGGAGAGCACTCACCCAGCTGCCAGGTCCACCGGGCCAGACAAAGGTGGAGGCTGAGGAGACTCATCCTAGACCGCTCCTGAGGCTGTGCAGGTGCCCGCCCAGCTGTCACCCACCATGGCACTGCCCGCCCCAGGAGCTGGCACTTCCCGTCTGCCCCAGGGGAGACTGAGATCCCCAGGTCAGTCTGGTAGGGTCACAGGGCAGACCTGCTGCTCCCTCAGACATCTGCCTGCTGCCCAGGCGCTGTGCTTTCTCCTGCTGGGATTCGCCCAACGCAGCCCTGCCCAGCCCATGTGCAGAGAGGAGGAGTTTCCAGTGGCCTTGGAATGCTGTCCCAAGTGCAGTCCAGGTAGCAGCCCAGGGGCCCACACCTGGCCAGCCAGACACTTTCCCTGCCTGCCTAGAGCACCTCTGTCCTTGTGTCTGTAGCTGCAGGTGGCACAAATCCCTGGGCCCAGGGGACACAGATAGCAAAGGGATGGAGCCCCGAGGCAAACCCTGGACCCTGCACTCCTCCAGCTCGGGAGCCTGGCCCTCCACTGTCGGGGGTGGGCTTGGGGGATGGTGTGGCCTGCATGACTCCAGGCTCAGGCTGAGAGGACAGGAGCAGGCTCAGGGGACCAGGAAGCCACACATCCTTCCAGACCTGCCACATCTCAAAGCAGGTGCATTCCTGGAAGGCCACTGGGGCCTGGGTCTCCAGGGACTGCTAGGTGGCCCGCAGTCCTCGTGGGTGGTGTCATGTGCTGGGAAGGTCCCAGGCGGAGCTCCGTGGGCCTCCTGCTGCTGAGCTCTGTTACCCTGGCTGCAGGTTTCTATGTGCGGTACATATGCAGCGAGGAAACCGGCACGGAGTGTGCACCCTGCCCTGAGGGGTCCTACACTGCCCACCCCAACGGCCTGGAGCAGTGCCTGCGCTGCCGGGACTGTGAGCCAGGTGTGTGCCATCCAGCAGCACATCAAGCGTGGGCGCAGCCCCAGGGGCTCCCTGCACTCTGCCACCAGCCTCCTGAGCCACAGAGTCACCTCAGGGGAGAAACAAAGGCCCTGAGAGTGACTCAGAGCTGGAGGGCAGAGCCCCCTCCCGGCTTCTCCCTCCTCATCCCTGTGGCTGCAAAAAAAGGGGGTGTTGCTCCCGGGGGGGGGAGCAGAGGCTGAGGGCCGCAGGCAGTGGGAAGCACAGGCCCTCTGGCCACCGTGGGTCCACACTGGCAGCAACCCAGGCCAGGGCTAGGTATGGTCCTGTCTCCTTGCAGGAGAAGAATGCGGCACCCCTGGGGGCCAGCAGGGAGCCTGTAGTGCTCAGGAAGGGGCCAGGGGGCCAGTGGGGGCTGCGAGCCCTCGTGGCTCAGGAGGCAGCTGGGGGCTCAGACTGCCGGCCAGCGGAACGCCTGCCTGCTTGGGCCTGGAGGGGGCCTGGGTAGCTAGCTGGTGACACTGTCCCTGAGGAGGAATGAGGTGGGCAGGGCCTCCCTGAGCTGGCCTCTGCCCCCTTGACCTGGAGACACAGAGGGGGGCCACCTGGGGGAAGGGCTGGGGCAGCTTGGACCTGGCTTGTGGCCCCCACTCCAAGCCTCCTCTGCTGCTCTGGGGTCCTGTCTGTGCCCAGGGCCTCAGATTGCCCAAGGGCCCGACACCCCTCCCAGGAGGCCTGCTGGGCTCCTGTTCTCAGCTGTCCCCACTGCTGCTGCCTTTGTCCTTCCTAGGGCTCACACCTCTGCTTTGGGTACCCAGGGCGTCACATTCTGCCCGGCAGGGCAGGGCAGGGCAGGATGCAGCAGGTCAGCTAGCGCCCCCCGAGCCAGCTGAGTCCCTGCAGCGCAGGTGACAGCCACCACCTGGCGGCTGGCTCAGCTCCTTCTCTTGGCTCAGACATGGGCCTGGTGACCAGGAGGAGGTGCTCCAGCACCCAGGACACCACGTGCGACTGCAGTCCAGGCCGCTTCTGCAAGGCTCGGGAAGGGGATCACTGCGTCCTGTGCCAGCCCCACACCGCCTGCCACCCGGGCCAGAGGGTGAAGGAGAGAGGTGAGCTGTGGTGGCACATTCCCCCTCAGCCCCAGGACCCTGGACACCACAGTGGCCAGCTCAGGGACCTGGTGGGGTGCAGGCGCTGTGGCCAGCCCATGTTCTCCTGTCCTAGGAGCAAGGGAAATAAGAGTGTGGGAAGGATGGCAGGGGATGCGCTCATCCTGGTGGCCCTAGAGGGGCTGGGAACCCAAGTCTCCCTGCCTCCCTCTCAAGTGCCAAGTGACACTGGTGGGGCCTAATGGGGCAGCTGGTGGGCAATGCCAGTGACCACTCTGAGTGCAGGAGTGACCTGGGTCTGCCATGCCTTGCCCAGTGGCACCAGAGCGGGGCTGAGGCCTAGAAGGGCTGATGCCACCCGCTCTGGGGTTCCCAGCCCCACCTGCCTGGCAACCAGCCCTCTATCCACCTCCCTTCTCCCCAGGCAACAGCAGTCAGGACACACTCTGTGTTGGTTGTCCCCTGGGGACCTTCTCGCCCAATGGGACCCTAGACCAGTGTCTGCCCTGGACCAGGTAGGGGACACCAGCCCCTCCCCAACAGAAAGGGTCACCTGAGCACAGGACAGAGCTGCCTGGACGGCCGTGGGGAGCTGCTGCCTGCCCTTCTGGGTGGGGGTCACGGGCTTGCAGCTGTGGGCTTCCTCTCCCACCTGCAGCTCTGCCTGGGTGTTTCTGCCCTGCCCTCCTGGGCTGTCTTCTTTCTCCCTCTGTCTCCCTAAACGGGGGACAGCAGACAGCAGGACAACACAAGAGGTCACAGTCAGGGTTGCTCACCCAGAGCTGCCCTGAGCCATGGCCCCAGGTGCCCACACCTTCTCCTCTCCTAGGTGCAGCGGGTGGCTTCAGTGGGAAACAGAGCCAGGGACCAGCAGCAAGGATGCCACCTGCTCCTCGGGGCTCTCTATGCTGGTGCTCTGCATTGTGACCGCCCTTGTCCTCTTATTTGTCACGCCTTTCCTGGCCGTCTGGTTATGGAAGAAAAGGAAAAGGTTACGTGGTGAGCAGCTGTCCCTCCCCCTGCTCTGCGTCCTGGTACCCTGGAAGGTGGCCTCAGCCCAGGGCACTTCCAGGGTCAGGGGTGCTGTTGGGGGGCTGTGTGGCTTCTTGCTGTCTTCTGGAGGGGGCAGGTAGGACCCCGGCTTTGGAGTCACCCTACCACCTTGGTCATGGAGCCTGGTGCCTGGTGCCCTTCTGCTTGGGGACCACGGGGAGCCCAGGCAGCCCTGCTTCACTGGAGGATCAGAGGTGACCTGCCAAGGCCAGGCCTGTGTCCTCCTAGAGAAGTGTCCTGTGTCCCTTCTTTCTTGGACAGCACCTCTGCACAGGGCTGCGTGGGGCACCAGAGGCCACTATGAAGATGCAGCTCTGGCCTGGGCAGCCCACGCGTGGCCGGGCCCCCAGGCTGTAGCGCAGACACGGCCCGGGCAGCCCACGCGTGGCCGGGCCCCCAGGCTCTAGCACAGACACGGCCCGGGCAGCCCACGCGTGGCCGGGCCCCCAGGCTCTAGCGCAGACACGGCCCGGGCAGGGGCAGCACCGTGTTCTCTCCCAGGTCCCTGGGTGCAGGGAGGTCCGGGGATCTGAGGCAGGCCAGGAGTGGCTGGGCCCGAGGCCCAGCCCTGGGAGGGTGGGATCTGATTTGCTCTGCAGTCCTCCCCTTCACTGGCTGCCTGGGCACTTACAGGGGTGAGATGGGCTGGGACAGCTGGGACGCTGGCTCCTGAGGGACAGGCTAGGCAGGAAGTCCTGTGCACAGTCCATCTCACCTTGCCTTTGTGGGTCGGTCTTGGGGGTCACACAGCAGAGCAGGGAGCCCTCACTGTGCGCCTGAGTCCTGGGCCAGCTTTTCTGGCTCCTCCTGTGACAAGGCTTCTTTGTATTCCAGGCTTCAGAGCCCCAGTGACCAACCTCAACCAGGTACCATCACTCCCACTTTCTCTGGGGTGCTTCTGGGCTGTGTGGGTGAGGGTTCCCCAGCTTTTGGGGAGCCCCGAGTCTTTACCCAGCACACATTCTCTGCTTACCCAGCAGGAGACACGAGGCAGGGCAGAGCACACTGCAATGACCGAGGCCCTGCAGTCCCTGCCTGACGTCACCACCGTGGCTGTGGAGGAGACGGCTCCCCCGCTGAGGGGGAAGGACTCCCACTGCTAATCCGGGCTGGGGAGAAGTGTCTTGGCCCTAGGACGGTACCGCTGGTGAGAGCTGGCACTTGCCCCAAGGCAGGGTGGCACTGAGGTTTCCACAGGCTGCCCACAGCCCTCAGCGGGCCCAGGGGGCTCCAGTCAGCCCTGGTGCAGCCCAGGCTCACACAGGAACTCGGCACCACGGGACAGTGCAGTGGCAGCCGCCCCTGACCCCAGGCCCCCTCCCGGCCCTCCCCAGCACTCACCTAGCCTGGTGTTCCACCTGCGGCCGGAGCCTGGGCTTGCTCATTGGGAGGCCAGCCCACGGCTCTACCCGCGTCAAGGTGGGCTGGCCATGGAGGTGGCATCAATCCCCTCTCCTGTCTTATAAGCTCTGTTTATACCCGGACGCCTCATCACTGCAAAGGCCATTTCTCATCAGACCTCCACCTGCCAAGACTCCCGCCTGTGCTGTGATCATTTGGTGGCTGCCACATGGAGCTGGGACCACGGCTCAGGCATCCCCTGGCAGGAGTGGCGTCCCCTTCCATTGAGTGCTCACAGACTCATTCCCGGGCCTTGGATGACCTCGGAGCTCCTCAACTTGCTCGCTGGGATCATCTTCACTGTTGTCCTTGTTTTTGTCGCTGGGGTCTCTGTGGGCGCCTTTACCACGGGGCCTTGAGTTCTGCAGCTCTGACCACCATTCCACGAGGACTTGTGGCGCTCCTGGCTCACCCAGGATGTGCTTCCCGTCCCAGTGCCGGGAGCAGCGCTGACTGCTTATGGAGGGCGAGGTTCAGGGCCCAGCGCTGGGATGCCACGTGGCATTACTTTTATTTTTTGCTGTACTGAAGATTGAGTCCTGGGCATTGAGGATGTGAGGCAAGTGCTCTACCACTAAGTGAGCCCCAGGCGTTTTGTTCAATTTTGGTTTTAGAATTTACTTTGAGACAGTGGCCCAGGCAGGCCTTGAACTGCCGACTTGCTGCCTCACGCTGCCCAGAAGGCAGGGTCACAAGTGTGGACGTCTGCACTAGGGCAGACGTACGCGCTGTTGGGCCTCCAGGAGTTCATCGCAGCCAGACTTAGGAACCCTATTCCATGTGTGAGCACAAAAGCAGGTGTGGACACAGAGGCAGTGTGCAGGTGCGTGGCCTGCCTGGATGCAAGGCTCAGGCCGCCCTGCGCGTCTGGCCGGCCGTGTGTGTGTGTGTGTGTGTGTGTGTGCGCGTGCGCGCGCGTGCGTGTGTGGGCTTCCCTGGTGGGAGCCCAGCCCTTTGTCCAGACCCCGCCCCCAGATGATACTTGGCTGTGTCACAGCTCGGCTGGCCGAGTGCTGGTGGCTGCTCCCTGCTGCTTTAGGGTTTGTGGTCCAAACCTGCGCAGTTCTGCAGGTTAACTTTTATTCTTTCTTGTTGAGTGTATTCATTCAATTATTTGAAATATAATTATTTCAATCGTTGCTCAAGTCTGACTTCTCTTTGCAGTTGTATCGTCACCCATATTTTATCTCCCCACCTATCTCTCTTCATCTGTCCGGTCTAATCTATCTTCCTACTTTCTAGATCTGTAGAACATTTAGAAGGCTAAGTGCTTGGTTAGCAATCCATGAGGTCCAATTAAGAGGCAAGAATCTCCTACTAAAAATAAGGCTCAGGCAGGCGACAGCACGGCTCTCTGGAGGCTGATCTGTGAAGCACTAGGCAGGTGTCATAACCAGCGCTCCAGCCAGGAGTGGGAAGGCCTTCCGGTGACACGCGAGGCTCCAATTCCAGTCGCAGCCGTCCTGGGTGTCTGTTCGCCTGTGCAGATCCAGCCTGTTGGGACACAGCTCTCCTGCGTCATGACGCGGTGATGGCGCCTGCCCCACCGGTCCTTCAGCCCCAGTAACTTGCGTTCTACCACCTGGCTGTGATCTTGTCTTGAGGCTCCCTTGGGCGCTTCTCAGACCTGGGCCGGCTGTTCCCGAACATCAAATCCCTTAAGTGTCCACCCAGCTGCAATGACAGCATCTGGCCCACACCTGGGCCCGTGCCTGTTGCTCTCAGGTATCGACAGAGCCAGGGGACTAGAGTCCACCAACCCAGAGGCCAGCGGAGCCCTGCAGCGGGCTCCAGCCTCCAGATGCCTCGTGGGCCCTGGGCCTTGAGGTCTTTCTCCAGCACATGGAGTGTTCGACTCAGGAGGGACTGCAGTGTGCCGTACCCCAGTGACTGGGCCTGGGAACGGTGGGGACCACTGTGACCACCCAAGGAGGACTGGTCTCACATGAAGCTGGAAAATGCAATCAGACAAAAGAGGAAGTTAGTGGAGTGTTTAGTGGAAGTACAACGTAGGGAAGCTCTTGACAGCTGGGAGGGGACCTGAAAAAGGTTGTCGGAGTGGGCGTTAGCCTAGGGCCCTTCATGTCGGGTAGCCAGGTCCCTTGCCATGGGAGGGTAAGGTGACACAGGCTGTGGACTTCGGGTCCCTGCTCTCTTCTGACCTGCAGAGAATGGCCTGCAGTGGCCCCGCGCTGATTGTGTACACTTTGGCTCGCCAGGAATGTTGCGCATGATTAAGGGGAACAAAGTAGAAGGGAGGGGGCATCAGCTGTGGGGGTCTCTCGCCCGTGTTTGCTTTTACATTTCTGAGCTGAGAGATCTGTGTGGACTGACTGGATGCTGTGAGCGTGGGTCCTTCCCTGGTGGAAGCCCGGCCCTTTGTCCAGACCCCTCTGGCTGGTGCTTGGCTGTGTTGCAGCTCGGCTGGCCTAGTGCTGGTGACTGCTTCCTGTGCAGGTTTCTTCAGAACCAGGCTGACGCCCCCAGCTGGCTATTCATGGGCTAAGGGGGTACCTTTCACAACACTATCTCTCCACCTCTGGCTTCTTCTGGAGACAGGTCCCTTCCTGTCTCCAGGACTGGCTCCTGGGCTGCGTGGCTGCCGTAGCCTCCTCTGGGCTGCTAGGTGCTGCCCAGCCTCTTCGACTCTTCCTTCATGCCCTGGGAAGCGAACCTTCTTTCCTTGCGTGGTCCTCTGGCACCAACCTCAGCAACACCACCCTCCTAGGCTGAGTGCAGCAGCCCCTCCCAGGCCGCAGCTTTCCCATCTCCCGTGGGGCTTGTGGATGGCGTGGCAGCCCCCTGCCTTCCTTCTCCAGCCCTACCTGTGGGGTCTGAGGGGTGAGAGCAGGCTCCTGGGCACCGGACCCTCTGCCGTATGGCCCAGGTGGAAGGTCACTGTTGGCAGATAGACACTAGTACGCCTCAAGGTTGAGCAGTGGCCGAGCCCAAATGTGGCTGCCGGTTAAGTAAGGAATCAGACTTTGATGCGTCACACATCTTTATCATTTGTGAGGTCTCAGGCCTAAGGTGATCCCACAGAACACAGTGACGTCTTCTAAATCCTGGCCACCTGGCCACTCAGCTCCAGAGCAAGGCAGGCAGCATTCCTGGCTTCCATGTCCACAGCCCTCAGACGTCAGGAAAGGAATGGTTCTTTAAAGACTCTCCTGCCAGGCTGGAGAGATGGCTCAGTGGTCTAAAGCACCTACTTGAAACAAGCTTGGCAAAGCACAGGGACCGCGGTTCGATCCCCCAGCACCACATGCCAGCCAGCCCCGCCCCCTGGTGGGCTGAGCTGGCCACACACACACACACAATAAATAAATGTAATAAATAAAAATAAATAAATATTTAAAAAAAAAAAAAAAAGACTCTCCTGCCTTGGCCTAGTTTAATTAAAAACCCTAGAAACATAGCACCAGATCGAGCAGGCCCTTGCTCGTCTACTGTGCATTTGTGCTTCAGCATAACTGGAGACGGCTGCGTGTCTCGGGACCTTTTCCTGAGGGATGCAGGAAGCAAGCAGTGCATTTACACACTCGGTAAGCTGAGCAGCAAGGTGTGTGGGATTTGTGCCCATCCTATGCTCCATCTAACTCGTTTTGCATGTATTTATCCAAGCACCACAGAGGACCCAGTAGACCCACACCACTCCAGGATTTGTTCAAACAATGCTGTCCTTTAATTTTTCTAGTCGACGTTACCCGTTCAGGGCACGTGAAAACCAGATTTGCAAGTCTTGAAAGAGGTCAAAAATGAGTTCTCAGATCACGCAAGCATGGGTGATGAAGACGAGCCGCGATGGAGAAACCCATACTTTTGCAACATAGACTGGTGTGGGTGGAGGGTGGCGATGACGGTTACTTTGATGCTGGCCACATGAACCAGAGTTCTTGTGACAGTGAAATGGAGCAAGATCCGACGGATGCACAGGAAATGCAGACCTCCTGACTCAGATGCGGAGGGGAACAGCCACGTGAGTACACAGTCGACGAGCTGAGACGTGAGACGACCACGCCACCCAATGGACCGACCCAGGGCTAGAGCTCGGTCACGAGAGGTGGGGTCCTAGCCACAGGGAAAGGTACTGGACGGATGCCAGCACCGCCATTCAGTGCTGGGAACTGTGGCAGGCAAGATGCCACAGGATGCTGTGAAAGACACAAAGGCTGAAGTGCAAGGAAAACCTTCCGCACACACCACCGGCCGTGTTCAAAAACCTATTTATTGTGAGTCCTCACTAGCGGCACTGAAAGCACATATAGGTCTGTTCTGCTTTGCAGGAATGCCCCACGGTGACCGCAGGAATGTAAAAGACTTATGGAAAAGCAGGGGCTCAAAATATGGTCCAAATAAAAATCTGTGCCTCATAGATGCAAAGACTGATTGTACTTTGCATTTAGAAATTTATCCTGGAACGCAGCCACTAGGTCCTTCTTTGTAAGGAGCCGAATGATGCTGTGAGCAGACTTGGCGCTCCCATCTCCCACGTGAATCAGGAGACGACATTTGACAGTTGGTGTACCAGTTTCCAGGCGATGGTACATTCACCAACAAAGCAGGAGCTGGCCAGCACAGCACAGAAATTCCAAATGAAATGCTGCAATTCGCAAATAGAGAACTGTATGGTATGGTCTCTGGATGCCTCCCATCGGGCAAAGAAAAACAAGCTGGTACTGCTGATGTCAACATCTCACCATGTGGAAATTTTGGTAGGGAAACCTTGACAAAACAGAAGCCTGAACTGGAAACTTTCAACAAAACCACAGGTGGAATGGATGTTATTGATGAGTTATGCAGCAATTACGATGTCACTTGAAACACCAAACATTGGCCAACGGCTGTATTTTACTTAGTCCTAAATAGGTGTGGCATAGTTCGATAGTTTAAAAAGAGAATAACACATGCAAAATATCACGAGGAAATTTTCTTAGCGGATTGAGACTGGAACTCATAAAGAGATCACTTATAGCAGAGGAAAAAACAAGAGGTTTCGGCCCAGCAAACTACACAAAAAAATCGCAGAGCATATTGGTGAGCTGACGGGTGATCAGGCAACGTGGTGTCACAAAGATCTACTACCACAACAGGAAGAGAAAAAAAAGATGTCAGTGGTACCCTAGAAGAAAGGACAGGAAAGGCAGACATATGGGCTACAGGTGTAACTCCTGTACGTGGTACACGCAGTCCTTACGTGTGAAGCTGCCTTGGCTCGACAGTCTTGTTTCTAGGGTGGGCTTTGCCTTGTGCTTCCACAGGAGTTCACACAGGTTTTTAGTTTTGGTAGTTTTTAGGCTTTTGCAGCCGATGTGGAAATGCTGGTGCCTGTTTCAAATGCACGACACATGTTAAGAATCTCATACTTTATTTATATCTTACGTTCCTGCTAACCACACAGTGTAGAACAAGACCCTCCTACAAGGCAGCGAGACCCCCGAGACGTCCAGTACGTCCCGCGAGAGGCCAGGAAAGCAAAGCACGGGCGCCGTCCGTCCGCGGGACGTGCTGTTGTCGTTGTCGTGTGTGCAGACTGCCTTAGGGGGGATCCCCGAAGACTTGTTGGGACACGCTATTGGCACTGTCACTGTAACTCACATACCAATTTGTGTTCTTTTTTAGACTTTGTACATCAAAAAAGCTGTGTTTGAAAATTTTGACTTTTTGGTTCAGGGAGCTAGCTCAGCCAGCAGCATAAGCGCCCGCTGGGCAAGTGCAAAGTGCAGAGCTCATCCCTGGTACGAAAATAAATAAATAGATAAATAAGTAAATATTTTTTATAAATCGCTGATTTTTTTTTTTTTCCAGTTAAGTACTCAAAATTAAACCAAAACTCATAAAACTAAAAGTAGTAATTCAACACAACGATTCGAACGAACAGACGTGGGTCTGCGCCTTCGGGGCGGAAGGAGCCTTACGCTCCCCAAGAGCGGCCCTCCGGGCTGGGGAGGCAGCTCAGCGGGGCGCGCACCTGACGAACCCGGGCCGGGCGCGCGGCAGGGCCGGCCGCCGCCGCCGCCACCGACGCCGCCCTCCGTGCGGGAAGGCCCGACCCCGCGGAGCCCGGCGCGCCCCAATCAGCCCACGCCGCACTCTGCGCAAGCGCACCACGTACGTACGCAAGCGCGCGCATCACGCCTGGGAGGCTGCGCTATTGGCTCACGGCTTATGAATATGTAGATCCGGAGACCGCGTTGGGTCAGGCGCCGGGCGGGCCCGGCGTCGGGGGCGGAGCTAGGGGCGTGTCCAACCGGGAGACAGGCGCGGCCTTTGGGGCGGGGCTTGGCCGAGGAGGCGGGGCGGCGTGGGGGGTGTCCAAGGTCGCAGGAGCGGGGCGCGCCTGGGGCGTGGCGGGGAATTGCGGCGGCGCGGAGCCGGGGATCGGGATCCGCGGATCGGGATCCGGAGCGAGCGGCTGCCGCCATGAGCGCCCTGGACCTCGCCCGCGTGGGCGCGTGCGTCGTGAAGCACGCGGTGACCGGGGAGGTGAGGCCGGGCGGGTGCGCGTCGGCGGGGGGCATCCGTCTGGCCCCGGCAGTCGTCGGCCGCGCGGCTGACAGCGCCGTCCGCCCGCAGTCGGTGGAGCTGCGCAGCCTGTGGCAGGAGCAGGCCTGCGTGGTGGCCGGGCTGCGGCGCTTCGGCTGCATGGTGTGTCGCTGGATCGCGCGTGACCTCAGCGAGCTCCGCGGGCTCCTGGACCGGCACGGCGTGCGCCTGGTGGGCGTGGGCCCCGAGGCCCTGGGCCTGCGGGAGTTCCTGGACGGCGGTTACTTCTCTGGAGGTGCGACCCTCCCTCTTCCCGCCCCAGATCCGGCCCTGCCCCCACCTGGTGCCCCACAGTCCCGCGGGTGCCCCTGGGTCTCAGCCTCGCCTCGGGGGTCACTGGGCCGGGCGCGGAGGCCGAGGCGCGGGAGGAGGAGGCTGGAGCCGGGCACGCGCCTGTGGCTGCCTTTCCAGAGCTCTACCTGGACGAGAGCCAGCGGCTGTACAAGGAGCTGGGCTTTAAGCGGTAAGCATGTGTGTCCGTGTGGCAGCACCCGAGGGTGCGCTCAGCTCCCGAGGCGTCTCCCTGCTAACACCTTCCCCTCAGCTGTCTGCTAAGCCTACCCCGGCTTGCCAGCCCAGGGGCTTCACAGCTCCAGCCAGCTCCAGCCGCCGCTCTGCTGGGTTCTGCAACGTGGGTGTCCTAACAGGCTGTTGCCCAGTGGGCCAGAGGGGGCCTGGAGCCCCAGGTCTGTCAGGGCCATGCCGCTGCTTCTGCCACATGTTGCTTGGCCTGGTGGGCAGTGCCACCTGAGCCATCTTCCTGGGCACACCCAGCCCTCGCTGGGTTCCACGTTCCACACCCTCTGCAGAGCGCAGGCCAGCTGTCCATGGGCGGGCTGCCCCCTGGCTCCTGTGGCTGCTCCTGGCCAGAATGGTGGCTGAGGTAGCTGCCTGGGGCCATCGTGGAGCCCCTGGTGAGGTGAGTGGGCGGGCGGGGCCTGGCCTGAGCTTGTTTCTGCCTCTGGCGGGGCCTGGCAGCAGGTGTGGGGGCTCAGGCTCTGCCAGTCACCCTGGCCCAGTGAGCTGGTGTCTTTGCAGGTACAACAGCTTGAGCATCCTGCCGGCCGCCCTGGGAAAGCCCGTGCGAGACGTGGCTGCCAAGGTTAGTGGCAGTCAAGGTCCTTGGGGCCAGGGCTGGTGGGAGCCCCTGGGGTTTCCTCTGAGACTGGCCGTGTTCTCCTCCTTCAGGCTAAGGCAGCTGGCATCCAGGGGAACCTGTCCGGTGACCTGCTGCAGAGTGGAGGACTGCTGGTGGTCAGCAAAGGTGGGTCAGCCCCATTCTCAGTGGATGGCCATGCTGAATTTGGTGGCCACTGTGTGCCTACCTGTAGCTTGTCCATCTCTACGTACCACCCATTTGAGTGTGGCCTGGTCAGGTGGTGGTTGCAGGTGGCCTCTCAGGTTGCCCTGACCACCTGCCTGCCACCACAGGTGGGGATAAAGTTCTGCTGCACTTCATTCAGAAGTCCCCGGGTGACTATGTCCCCCGTGAGAGCATCCTGAAGGCCCTGGGCATCTCTGCAGAGGTTGCCACCAGCGAGCCACCCCCGGTGAGTGAGGCCTGGACCAAACAGCCTGCTACGAAGGCATGCTTCTCGGTGCCTGTGCACACGGCGCGCCTGGCCGGGGCCCCCGCTGCAGCCCCGGGGGTCACGCCAGCCCCAGAGCATTGCCGTTCCCGTGTTTCCATTGCAGGGGGAGAGGCTGGGAGGGCCAGGGATGGGGTGACCGACAAGCAGGCCTGGCAGGTCCTCCCCAGGGGCTGCAGGCTGGAGAGAAGGCGCCCTTTCGGCTTCAGGGCCGGGGCGTGTCTGCTGGCCCTGTCTGGTGTTAGTGTGGTCCTGGCAGCTGACCTCCTGCCCCAGGTGGAGAGGAGTGGCTCACAGGCCAGGCTGCCTCTGTGGCCGGCAACCCCCTTCTTCATGGGTGAGTGGGAGGCCCCTGGGAGTGTGGCCAACCTAACGAGGCCCTTTTCCCTGCAGTGTGATGAGGAGGTGTGTGGGAGGTGACAGCCCTGGCCTCCGTGGACCTGGAAGGCATCTGCTGCCTTAGTCTCCTGGGTGCTCAATCAGAAGAACCATGCCAGTGGGGTGCTGGCTGCGACACAGAGCCTTGTCTGATTCTCGGGCAGCACTGAGCCATTAAAACTGCTGTCTTTGGGCATGGCGTCTCCTCACCGGCTGTACATTGTGTCTTGGCAGCTCCCATCTCACCCGCCGGAGGTCCCTAGGGGTGCTCCTGGTGGGGACGTGAGGGGTGACCCCCCACCATGAAGGTGGTGGTCCTGTGCAGGGAACATGCTCCTGCTGCATCTCTGTGGACCTCAGGCCTCTGGCTTGCGGGGTTCTGGGGACAGTCCACACTGCCTGGTCATTTCCTCCAAGGTGACCTTGCGCCTTGGTCCAGCTTTGTCTGGGGACCAGCAGATAAGCTTAGGGTATGGAGAGAGGGTTGAGGGAGACTCCCTGGGGCTCAGTGGAGGGCTGGGAGGGCTTCTGGAGGAGCCGGCTTGGACTCCACCGGATGCTTTCTAGGACAGCTCTGTGCTGTCGCCTGCACCTGCAGCCACAGCCATGGCCACCTAGCCTTGCCCCATGTGTGCAGTGCCCTGCCACCTTCCCCAGGTCCTGACCGGCCCAGAGCAGGGATCTGCTCCACCCCAGGCCTTCTCCTCGAGGGCTGTCTGGTCTTAGTGGGTTCTCAGGACCTCGACACCTCCCTGTCCTTCCTGGGTCCAAGTCTGGTGACTGTAGTGTCCTGCCCCCCCGCCACGGTCACTTGCAAGCACAGAGCAGGCAGTGCACACTTTGCGGTGCAGCTGTTCTGGCTTCTTGTGACACAAAACTGATCTGCAGTCTCAGCTGCACGCCCCAAGTGACCTGGCACATCCAGGCCGGGGCCCTCGAGTCAGGCTCCCCAAGCTGGAGGTGGGCCTTGAGGGGCGGCCTGGTCATGCTGTCTCTGGCACTGGCAGGAGCCCCTCCTTCACTTGCCCCCTTCCTTCCCCCACCCAGTGCAGTTTGCTGTGGCCACCTGGCAGCCACGTGGCTCCCTCTAGACAATGAGATGTCACCTTTAAGTGTTTATTTGGCCCTAATCTGAAACTTGTGAACATTGAGGATGACACACTTTGGTGAGGGGCAGAAGACAGTTGGCTCTGTCTCTGGGCTGTGACGCGCGCTGACCCTTGTGGGTGGCACAGAGGGTGCAGCTTGGACATAGCTTCCCCTGGTACCTGCGGCGTGAGGACGGCCGGGCCACCGTGGCTGCAGGCACAGATGCATATTGCTGCTGGTCCGTGCCAGCCCCTGGCTGCACCTTCTTGGTGAAACACCTCCTTTCCCGGCCGGGTGGCATGGGCCACAGAGTGCAGCTCAACCTCCGCTACCAGATGCGGCATCGCTGCTTGGGGTGCATGGGGGTGCCCTGGGCGCAGTGGAATGCATCGGCAAAGGCAGGCAGGTTCTGCAGCGAGCCCAGCACCCTGTGAGGAGCAGGGTGAAGAAGCCGGCCTGCGCTGGGCAGTCCAGGGGCAGGGGCAGGGTGTGCGGTGACTTGCCTGTACTTCAGAGGGCTGTGGACGTCAGTCTTGATGGACTGGACAGCAAACTCGGGCCTGTACGACCCGCACCACACCTACAGGCGCATGAGAGGGTGCGGCCAGTGTCTCGGGGGCCTCCAGCACAGCTGCCCTCTGGGGGTGAGAGCCTGGCAGGGTTGTGCCCACCCTCCAGACCTCACTGGTGCCCCAGCTGTCTGCCTGCTGGTTGTGGTTCTGGGAGCTGGCCGCCCACCGTGTCCCTGGAGCACACATCCCGGGGCCTCCAAAGACAGAAGGGCATGGAGTGTGGGCCGTGGGATTTGTGCAGCTACCTGGGCATAGTTGACAAAGAAAAGCTGTTTGTAGGTGAGCTCCAGCCCGGGCAGCAGCTGATCCTTGCCGCCTTCTGCCATCCACTTCAGATAGGCCTGTGGGGACCAAATGCCACGAGGTGGGGAGCAACTGACATTCCCAGCAAGCCTCTAGGGTCCTCATATCTCCACAGAGGCTGAAGGTCTGGCTTTAGGCTCTGCCCCGGGGGAGGGGTGGTGGTCCAGCCACGGTGGGCAGCAGGCTTGGCAGGACCTTCGCCGGGCAGTCACCAGCCATGGCCTCCAGAGCCTCTGTACCAGCTTACAGGGCCACCAGGCACGGTGGCTTCCCAGTCAGGAAATGCACTGGGGTACTGCTGCCCGTGCAGCCCCAGCCTCAGCGAGGCGACCCCTCTGGGACCCACCTTGTACGCCTGGCGCACCCCTCCGTTGTCTGCGATGTTCTCCCCGAGGGTGCTGAATCCATTGACCTGTGCACAGGACATAGGGTGGTGGGGCAGTCAGGTCCTGCTGCAGGGTCCCACAGGGTTAGGGCTGAGGTGGCGCTGGTGGCCCTGCCCACTCACGCTCTGGTTCTCAGCCAGCTCCCAGCTGTAGTTGCCATACTGGTGGATCATGCACTCCGACTGCTCCCGGAAGTTCTGGGCCGAGAAATTGCTCCACCAGTCTAGCATGTTGCCGTTCTTGTCAAAGTTCCGACCTGGGGGGTGGGGGCAGAGGCAGACTGTCCTGGACCCCAGCAGAGGCCGACTGACCTGGGTCCCACTGCTCCTGCTTCACCTGTGACGGCCAAAGCTTCTGTACCCAGGTAGGGAGCACATGGCCCTGGGGACAGGACTGGGCCTGCCTGAGGTGGCAGGGCGCTTGCCAGCGATGGAGGTGGGCTTGGCCCAGGAAGGGAAGTGAGAGTGGTGGGGGACTCTGCTGTGCAGGACCCAGCCTTGTGCCCTTTGTCCCCTTGCCTGAAGCAGCTCTCTGGGCAGGGTCCTCAGGGAGGACCTGGCCTCTATCCCTGAGCCAGGAGGAGGCTGGGGGAAGAGCTGCGGTTTGGGCTGCCTCATGCCTCTTTACCATTGTCGTCAAAGCCATGAGTGATCTCGTGCCCGATCACCATCCCGATGCCCCCGAAGTTCAGAGACTGCGGCTGCTCCTTGCTGAAGAAGGGCGGCTGGAGGATCCCTGCGGGGAACACTGTGGAGGGGCTGCGCCTGTGTGCCTGGCTCCGGCAGGCCCCAGGGGTCCTGTCATCTTTTTCAGATGGGGGGGGACACCAGGGCTCTCCATGTACAGATGGGGAAACTGAGGCTCCGCATGGCAGGAGCTGCGTCTAGCTTCTTCCCACGCTGCTGTGCTGCCCTCAGGAGTGGCTCCTTTGCCACACTGTCCCACCCCACAGGTGCAGGGACACAGGAGGGCACTCGAGAAGTGGGAGGAAGGGCGGCTGGCTGGCAGGGAGAGCTTGGGAGCTAGGGGTAGCTGGGAGCTTACCGATCTGATTTCGGTTTGGAGAGTAGAACGCGTTGACCACGGCAGCCCCAATGATCCAGCTGTGGGAAGCCCCGGTCTCTTGGAGGCCACACCTCCCAGGACCCTCCTGCCCTGCCCGCCCCTCCTGCTTATGTCACAGTGGTTGCTCCAGAGCAAGCCTGTGCGGTCTGTCTGCAATGTCTGGGCCCCTGTGGGAGGCGACTCCAGGGCCCAGCAGCAGAGTGCGGGGGACCCAGTGTGCCCCCCAGCTAGCACAAGGCCAGCCTGGCCAGGCACAAGGCTGTCCCTAACGCGCCAGCCACACCACTTACAGATTCTGGTCCACCCTTTCCCGAAGCTTCCTGAGGCTCCTGTGGGCGCTGGCCTTGAGGTTCTGCAGTGCATTTTCGAAGTACAGATCCTCCGAGAAGTTCAGCTATGGGAGAGGGGCCATGGCTAGCGTTGGGATCAGGTTCCGGGAGGGCCAGGGAGGGGTCCCGGTGGCTGGGGTCTAGCTAGGCAGCCTGGAAAGTGGCCTGAAGGCTCTGGGTGCGGTGAATGGGGTCACTCCTGCTCTGAACAAACTCCTCAGAGACCCCGGGCCTTGGTTTTCCCATCCATAAACTGAGGGGGTGCTATTGCTGCCCCAGAAGGGTGGCTGAGCTGGTGTTGGGGAAGATGGCAGCGTGCCTGGCACAGCTCCCCATCCTGGTACTCAAGGGCCTGATTCCCGGGGGTGGCTCGGAGGCAGGGTGGGGGGCAGAGCTCTGGGGGGCGCAGAGGGTGGGGCGCACGCTGGAATACTCCTGGTCCAGCCGCCTGTTGTCCTCCTCCAGGATGTAGGTGGGGTAGCCGATCTGCTCCCGGATGCTCATGGCCTGGAGGGAGGGGAGAGCTGGCTGGAAAGGTTGGTGCTGCTCTCTGTGAGAGGGCAAGGGGCTGGGGGCCACCCGTGATCCCTGACAGCACTGGTTGTCAACATCTATTTGTCTAGAGGCTTTGCTGGACCCCGGGTGCTGGAGCTTCCTGGCTCTGCCCACCGCCAGCCCTGTCCATCGGGGTCCTGACTGCTGGGCCCTGGAGGATGCCTGGCACATCTATCTGCAGGGCTGCCAGGGCTCTGCCAGGCGCACCCACCTTCTCCTGGGCCTTCTGCTTAGACTCCTCATCCATCCAGCCCAGCTCATCCAGGGTCTCCACGAACACAGCCCGAACCTTGTGGATAAGCTCTTGGACCTGGGGACCATGCAGGCCTTCGCATCCGGGCCGCCCCAGGGGTGCTGCTGTGGGGGTGACCACCCTGCTCGGGATCCTCATCCCGGGTCTGCCTGCCCTGCACCATGAGGCACAGCCTGCGCCTCTCCCAGGGGGCCTGCAGGGGCTGGGTTGGGGGTCTCATTGGCCAGCCGGCTCTGGGCTCCTCTTTCTTGTGGGCCCTGAGGCACACGTGGGCCCTGCAGGTGGAGGGACCGTGGGGGCCTGTCTGGCCTTGCATGCAGGTTGGCTGCCACAGGGCCGGCTATGCTGCTGGGTCCCTGTGGGGTGGTGGTGGATGGTGCCTGGCCGTCAGAAAGCAGAGACACCCACCATGTCCTTGCTGTCCCCGGGGAAGGCCTGCTTGACGTACAGGGAGCCCACGGCGCTCTCCATGTTGCTGTTGACGTAGCTGATACACTCCCGCCAGCGCACCTCCTCCACCGTGGTGCCGTACAGCGCCTGGGTGCCGGCCATCCGTTCCTTCACCCAGTCCTCCCACCGCATCAGCTCCTTTTGAGTCTGTACTGGGCCCACCCCATTCTGGGACCCAGGTGTCCAGCGACCAGAGGGGACAAGGGTGACTCTGAATGCCAGCTCAGGCATTCTGGGGAGCTGAGCCTCTAAGCCAGGAAGAGTGGGGTGGTCCCTGCTGGGTCCTCCTCCTCCCCTTGCCTTGGTTGGCAGAGCTCTGCCTCCAGCGTCCAGGCTGGCACTGACCTAGAGCTGCCACCTGGTCACAGTCCCAAGTTCCCTGGCCCTGGCTTCCTGTGGCTGAAGTGGAACAGAATAGCTGCCTGCCTATCCCCAGGGTGCAAGGGGACAAGAGGGCTACGTCCCCATCAGACGTGCTCCTCGGCCCTGTCTTTGCCAACTGTGGCGTACGGCCCATGGTTATGCCAAGCGTCATGCACCACATGACGGGCAAGAGTCAGCGCGGCGGCCTGCTGGTGGAGCCTCCTCTGCGTGCCCACCTTGCGGTAGTTCACCCGAGCGTCCTTGAAGCGTTGGCTCAGGCTGCTGATGCGATCCAGCACCAGGCGCCAGATCAGGTAGTTCTGCATGGTCCTGGTAGAAGGCAGGAGCAGGGTGACTGCTCTGTGGGCGAGGAGCCCTGAGGTCCACCCCCTGACCCGTGCACTCGAGAGGCCGCCCGGGTCCCATGCAGGGCTCCCCGGTCACTCAGTGTAACCTCCGAGCCTCTCAGAGGGGCCTCTCTGGAGAGTGAGCTGCTAGCCAGCAGGGACAGGAAAGATGCCGAGCCTCCTGGGGCCTTCCCCAGCCTCACCTGGCGGAGTAGAGGTCAATGATGTCCTCGAGGTTCTGCAGGTAGGGGATGCCATAGACCACCACTTCCTCATCGGGCAGCAGCTTGATTGTGACAGAGGACAGCACAGTTTGTATGAAGAGAGTCCAGTTAAAACCCTGAGGAGGAAGGCAGCGGGGACAGAAGCGGACAGGTGCTAGGCATCTATAGCACGCAGGATTCCCAGGAATCCTCAGGAAACGGGGGAAGGCGCGGGGTCAGGGCCAAGGGGCGACTTCCACAGCGGGATCAGACTGAGAGCCATGAAGTGTGTGTGCCGGATTTGAAAAAAAATTACGTGTAACTGGGAAAATTCCTGCAAAAACACAAGGTAGCAGAAATGACAAGGGGGAGAGAGTAAGGGCAGTCTTAGGGATCTGGTAAGCTGGATCTTTAATCTGAAGCATTCCCACAGAGGAAGCCCCAGGCCTGCTGGGTCTTAAGGTGACTTTACTGATGGCTGACATTTAAGAGAACTCCCAGGCCAGCCAAATAGCTCAGTGGATTAAAGCACTTGCAAGCAGGCGTGTGTGTATGTGTGGGTCTTTCCTGGGCCTGCCCTGCCAGTCTTGCCCCCCTGGGGCATGCTGAGACGGCGATTGAGACTGGGCGCATGCCTGTAATCCCAGCTCTTGGGAGGCTGTAAACAGGTGGATCACTACGAGTCCTATCTAGTAATGAGACCCTGAACACCTTGTAGACCTTTCCCTAAAATAGAGAGAGAGAGAGAGAGAGAGAGAGAGAGAGAGAGAGAGAGAGAAAGAGAGAGAGAGAGCGCTCCCTTTAAGGTTTCCTTACTTTCTCAAGAGTTTCCAGGAAGGAGAAAAAGAAAATCCTTTCAACGTTTGTCACAAGGCCAAGAATAAGGACATTATAAGAAATGAAAATAATGACCAGATTTTTTTATGACTGTAGGTACAAAGATTGTAAGCCAGATATTAGAAGATAGAATTTGCCTGAACAGCAGAAGATGGCAGTGCTCTGCAGCCGAATTACACGTATTTGGGAATACAAGCGTCTCCACCGGGAACCAGCTCAGCGCAACTCGGTGAGATGACAGAATAAGGCAAAAGGGTGCAGCGATTTCAGTAGAGGCGGCTGAGGCTCTTCTGGCAGACGAAGAGCACAGGAGCTCTGTAAGCGAAGAAAGGGAATCCACAGAACCAGAGCAGCAACCTGGAATGGAACTGAGGGGGTCCCAGGCCGCCCCCAAGCGAAAGAAGAACGCGAGACCCCCAAAGCCCCTCCCAGCACAGGTCAAGAGAACAAAACAAGCCACTGAGATGAAGCAGGAAATAAATGAAGCTGCTGTTGCTCACAGCACAGGGTTTTTTTTTTTTTTTTTCAGTACCGGGCATTGAACTCAGGCCCTTGCGCTTGCCAGGGAAGCACTTATTCCACTGAGCCATCTCCCTGGCCCCAGGGTTTTGTGTATATAAAATCTGAAGGCATCTAGGACACAGCTTTAGTACTAGAAAGTATGTTGGGTTTTCTACACACAACAAGCAATAAAAAGATGTGTTACAGAATGATACCATTTTCCACAGTATAAAACACCTAGGAATAAATCTGAGAAAAGATGTGTGAGGCCTTAACAAAGAAAACTAAATAAGAAAAGAAAAGCAAGGAGAGAAAAAGAACTTTAAAAGTCTAAAAGAACTCTTTGAGAGAAATTAAAGGGCCTGTACTGGGCAGTGTGGATCGGTGTGTATCGCGGACAGAACTCTCCGCGCTGGGAAGGCGTTAGTCTTTCTCTAACCGGCAGGGAGAGTACGGGCAGCTCCCGTCAGAGGCCAGCAGATTTTTCTGTGGACCTGGCAAGCTAATTTCCATGAAAATGTTTAATAATTAAGAGTATGTTGAAGAACGAAGCCGTGAGACCCGATGGTGTTGCCGTCTCAGCTTCCTGGAAAGCTGTGGCGCTGAGGGACAGACCGTGTGGACGGACCACGAACAGAAGAGCCCCGGAGCACACAGCCGCGTGGCTCACCACGAGGATGGCGCACGGCCGTTGGTAAGGGGTCTTATCCACACGTGGTGCTGGACTACCTGAACTCCGACGGGGAGGAACAAGACGATGCTGGCATGTCCCTGTGCTCCCAAAGGGTGCCACGCACGTCACTGGTACATCCAGAGTCTCTGAAGACAGGGAGGAGAAGCCGGGCAGCTGGGAGCACAGAGGGCCCGAGGCTGGAGGGCTCACTTGTGGGGGAGCACGGCCTCGGCCCAGCAACGAGAGACGGAGACACGCGAGGGTTATGGGGACCTACAGACGCGGCCTCGGCTCTAGCAGCAGCTTCATAAAAACGCGAGGTTGCCCCAGCCTGCTCATTCGCTGTTCCCGTGTGGCTTCCGGCTCCTCCCCAAAATCACCAGGCCACGAACAGTCAGGATTTGGAACCAACTCAGAACACGGAGGCAGTGGAGATGGTGCGTCTAGAGCGGGGTGCATGAGCGTGGAGGCGAGGAGCTCCAGGAGGCTCTTGTTGGCAGTGTGGGTTTATCGCAGCAAATGTTTTGTTCATTTATGCGTTTGGTACAGGGTCTTGCTACACAGCTCAGACTCGCACTGATTCTCCTGCCCAGCCTCCCCAGTGCTGGGATTACAGGCGTGTGCCACCATGCCTGGTTTTCGGTGGCTGGCACGGCATGTAGTACCAGGGATAGAACTCGGGACCTTGCCCTTGCCAGGCAGGCGCTTAGACCACTGAGCCATCTCCCCAGCACTACTGCAGTAAATGTTTAAAAATTTAAACATTCGCTGTGTTTTTCAATCACGTCCTGTGGTGTTTGACCTTGCTGGCCTCAGGAAGCTGCGGGGAGCCCAGATGCATGCAACTCCGTGTCCCCTCAAAGGCTAGGGTGAGAAGAGGGCGCACCACACATTGTGGCTGGAGGGTGTCAGTTGCTGTGGAGAGGCCCTGGGCTGCCTGACCTTTCCCATCGGGTGTCTATACCTCTGACCTGGCAGCTTGGCTCCTGATGGGCACAGGCAGGACCCTGCCCTGTGTGCCCCAAAGCCACACACCGGCACTAGCCAGGCAGCCTTACTCAGCAGTGCCTGGAACTGGGGTCCACCCTGAGCCTGACCCCAGAGATCAGGGGCACAGCTGCTGTGTGTTCCCAGGCCCCAGTGCTAGCAGCCCCGAGCTGGGAGGGGCTCACAGGATGCCGTGGTGTGTGTGGTCTGGTCACGGGGAAGAGAAGCTTGGGGCAGCAGGTCCCTAGGCGGAGGGAGGGCCGGGTGGGGCCGACAGCAGAGGCGGTGGTGGGAAGGGGTGCTGCCGCCCATGGGTGCCAGGGGTGGTGGGGTCTTGGCCTGGGCAGTGCTGTGTGGACCCTTCAGTGTGAGGCCATTCTGAGCGTCATAAACCAAATGCCCCCAGCCCAGGGCCCAGATGTCCCCAGCCCGCCCTGGCCACCTCCATGGTGGCCCTGGCTTCCCACATGTAGCCCATTCTCACCCTGTGGGTATTAAGTTCAAATACATGCAGGGACCACCTCAATCTCTGGCGCCTCACAGACTGGCAGCCTCATACCCCAGCCGGGCTGAGTGGCAGCCCCAGTCACATCCGCCCCATCTCCTCCACGGCACAGCCCTTGCTCCACTTCTTCCCCAACCCCTCCTGGGAGGCCAAGCCTTCCCCTGAGCTTCAGGCCATCCAGCCCGCTGTCCCCATCTCCCTCCAGCAGCCAGCCTCAGGCTCTTGGCTTAATACTGAGCAAACATGGCTGTGTCCATGTGGCGGGGTTCCCTGTCCCGGCCTGGGGTGCTCCTCTGCCCCCCACTCCCAGGGCTAGATGGCACCTGCCCAGTCTTCAGCACCCCAGAACAGCTCCTAACCTCCCCGCCTTGGTTTCATAATAGACCGGATAGCCGCTGGGCCTCATGGGACACCAGGAGGCACCCACTGTCCACCTGGGCTTCTTCACTGTGCTGTCCACCCTCACTGCGTCCACCCTGGGGTTAGTGGCCTCTGCTGGGGGGTTTGGTGGGGGCCCTGGGGCTCCATTTGGCCTCCAAGAGGGTGTCAGAGGCTCACCTTCAGGCCAAAGCTGTCTTGGAGCTGCTGCAGGTCCATCCTGTGGTACAGTGTGGTGACGTCGTGCCTCTCCTCCGGGGGTACGGTGGCCTGCGTCGGCAGGGTCACGTGGGTGGGCAGCTGGGACCTGGCTCCGCAACCCCCACTCTAGGCCCTGCCTCACATTGGCCAGGTGCGTCTCCAGCTCCAGCACCTGCGCCATGTCCTCCTGAACCAGGCGGCTGTTCTTGGGCAGCTTGTTGTCCCTCCGCAGCATGGTAGCCACCGACATCATGAACTCTAGGTAGGCATCCCGTACCTGGGCCAGAGGAGGTGCTCTGTGGGGTGGACTGGTAGACATGCAGCAACCCCCAAAACCTGAGACAGCTGAGGCCTGCAGGGATGGGGACCAGAGCGCGGGAGGGGAGGCAAATGGGGACACCCCCTACCCAGGACCCCCACCCTACATCGACGAGCTGGGCGCTCCCTGCGTCTGCTTGCTGCAGGCTCGGGGTTGAGTACACCAGGTCCATGCCAGGCAGCCCAGGCCAAGCTCCCGGCCCAGTTCCAGCCCCCAGCCCGAGGCTCTGTCGGGGCCGGCTGGCTGTGCAGAGCTGCCCTGGGCTGTCCTGCCTGGGCCTCCCTTCTTCATGCCCCATCTGTGTGTTCGTCGCCACCTAGCACCTGGCAAACCAGTGTCCCTGGCTGGGCCCGCCCAGACGTGTCCCAGGCTTCTTTCTCTGACTACGGCCACCCTCCTAGCTCCCTGCTGGTGCCCAGGCTTTGCTTGTGGCTGCCACCCCTGGCTTCCCACGCCCTCCTGTGATGCCCTACAGCCTCACTGCCTGCCCCGTCCTCTACTGTCTCCTCCATCCCGTCTCTCCTATCTCTCTTCCCTGACTGAGCTCTGTGGTGCAGGGACAGAAAGGCAGAGAGCGGAGCAGGCCTGGCGGTGCCTGGTGCCGATCTCTGCAGGACTTGGGCCCTGGCAGCGCACCTAGTGCTGCATGGTGGGCTAGGGCCACTGAAGGGATCACCCCACAGGTGTGCACGGAGGGGACAGAGAGGACCACTGCTGCCTCAGTTTACCTTCTTGTTGTTGCCCTTCTTGATGTAGTACTCCCGGGATGGCATGCCCAGCGTGGGCTGGTCTATCTGGAAACACAGAGGTTGTGACCCCTGCAAGAGCGGGGGGGCCCTGCAGCCTGGCCAAGGTGGCAGCTGCTGCTCTGTGGGACCCTCACTCCCTGGGCAGGTCGGTGCAGCAGTGTGCAGCCCTGGGGTCTCAAGCCCTGCTCTGGGAGATGGGACAGCACAGGGCTATAGGGTGGGACTTGAGGAGGCCTGGCACCCTCACCCCAGTGGTGGTGTCCATGTGTGCTCCTGGGCCTCTAGCGTGGCCAGTGTGGCCCCTGAGACGGTCACTTGATCAGAGGCCCCCAGAGCCTGATCACTTGATCAGAGCCCATTGCTTGGCAGCCTGTCCCAGCCCCTGAGATGCACAAGGCAGAGCTGGGAAGCCGACCACCGGGTCCGCAGAGCTCCCCACCCCCGGGCCCATCCCCTTGCTGTGCGGCACAGCTGGCCAGGTGCACGCCCCATGCGCATACGTAGATGATGTGCCGGCTGGAGTTCAGGTCGTCGTTCCACACGAAGAGGTCAATGAGGACCCGCCGGTTGAACTGCGTGTTCATCATCGCCAGCTGCTGCTCCAGCTTCCACGTGGGGCCTGGGGGGCAGCACCCACGCTGGGGGCGGGGCTCCCGGCCCAGCACCTCCCGGGCAGTGCACCGACTCCTAAGCTTAGAACCGCAGGGGTCTTTGGGACCCTTGCCCGCTCAGGGTGGCAGGCTCCCAGGGGGCCTCAGGGCTGGCACAGGGAGACCACTTCCCCACAGGCCCCAGTGATGCTGTGGGTGTAGGGGCACCAGGCAGTCCATGTCACCCTGGCCCAAGGCTGTCCCAGGGCCTCGCAGTCTGGAGCTCTGGGGGGACACTTCACTCTGGGTGGCTGTGGGGACTGGCCACAACAAGCCCAGCTCAGCACCAACTGCTCAGCCTGGGGCTGGAGTTGGCGGTGGCGACCCTTAGCTCAGCTCCAGCAGGAATGAGCCTTTTGGAGCTCCCTGAGTTCCCTGAGGTCTGGCAGCCGGACAGGCGGTCAGCTGGCTTGAGCTGCGTGGGGCTCTCTGCTTTGTGGTCTGGGCCCTCGGCAGCTACTTGGCCTTACCTACAGTCTCGTTCCACTGGTCCATGGCCACCGGCCAGCCCCCCACGACCGCCAGGATGTCCAGCAGAGGCTGAGAGTCTCGCTTCTCTATCACACCTGAAAAGGGAATAGTGGTCACTCGCAGACCCTGGGGCCACTCCCTCACTTGGAAGAGGAACCAAAGCACGGGAAGTCTGCCCTGCGTGCACTCATGCCCACACACATCCGTGTGCACAGACAGGACAGGCACGGGACACACAACATGACACGCACACCCCCCCACCATACACACGCCCACATATATGCACCCCGTGTACATGCACACATACACACACCTGCATATAAACAAGCCCTGCACCACATGCATCCGTACACACTCAGGCACCCAACACGCTGCACTCACACACAAGTGTGTGCACACACATATTGCACGTACATACACAAGCGCCACTTTGGCTTGGGTGAGACATGCTCCCCCAAAGGCGCACACATTCAATTCACATGTTCAGGAAGGTGCTTAGACCGTGGGGTGCTGCGCTTGTCGGGGGAGCAGCCTACGGGAGTTCCCGGGGATGCGCTGGCAGTGTCGGCCTGGCTGGAGGAAGCAGGGGCTGGGGCAGGAGCGGAAGGCAGCGCCTCGTCTCCACCCCTTCCTCTGTCTCTCAGCTCCTTCCCTTCGTCCCTGCTTCCTGGTCACCATGATGTGAGCAGCCGCTCTCTGCCAGCCCTTCTACCCGGATCTCTTCCTCCATGAACTGAAAGCTCTGACATCGTGACTGAGATAAACCTCCCCCTTAGGTGGTTTTTCTCAGACATTTGGCCACAGAGATGGTAAATGTGTGTGCGCACACGCACACACACACACACACACACACACACACACCCATACATACCACAATATGCAAACCTGTCCCTGTACACTATGCATATCCAAATGCCCACACATACAATACACAAACACACGTGTCATGTGTGTGTACACACATGCGCTGCATGCACATACACGCTGTGTATATTAACACATAAATGTGCATACATACATGTGCATGTCTGCTCTGGGCTCCTGCTTCCACTGGCTTCCTGCTGCCCCGACAGAGCATGGCCTCGGTGTGAGGTCGCAGGCAGCTGGCAGCCAGTAGCAGCTCAGGCCAGCTCCAAGGCCAGGTGGGACCCTGCACACAGAGCCTCGGCCCGGCCCCGCGGTGCCCTCCCCTCCCCACTGTGCTCACTTTGGTTCATGCAGGAGCGGTACAGCAGCTTGGCCTTCTCCACGGCTGGCCGGGACTTGGCAGTGGAATTCTCCAGCACACCTGCGGGCAGAGGATGTGGGGCAGAGGCCGCGTGGTGTTGGGGCCCAGGTCAGTGGAACCTCTCTGCCACTGCTGGGCAGTGTCATGGGGCATCCCATCCCTTGGAGGAGCTGCACTCCAGCAAGGCCCTGCCCAGTCCGCTCCTGGCCCGCTCCTGACCACTGCCCCCCACCTGCGGCCAGCCTGACCTGAGGAGGCCCTGATCACCTTTGAGGATGACCTCTAGCTCGTCCCGGAGGACATCAAAGATGCTGTAGCGGGAGCTGGTCTCGGGGATCACGTGGCGCCGCAGCCAGCCTCCACACGCATACTGGTAGAAGTCGTTGCACGGCTCCGTGGAGGGGTCCATGTTCTGGAGGATCCTGGCAGCTGCTCAGCCCCGGGGTAGGGAGGGAAGAGGGCAGAGTGAACGTGGGCAGCGGGACAGCCTTTCTGGGCCCTTGGCTTGGGGATGGCTTGGGGGACTGGAGGGCAGATGAGTGCCCCGGGGAGGGTCAGGTGGGGGTGGAAGTGGGGGTGGGGCACTCGGCTGGATCCAGGTGCCAGAGCTGCAGCTTGTTAACTCTGTGATGGTGACCCACTGTGGCTTCTCAGGGCCTCATCTCTGACACCAGTATTCAGCCCCATGGACCAAGGTGAGGGCGTGGCCCTCCACCTGGTGGGAGTGTCCTCCACAGGGTGGAGACAGCCGCTGCCCACAGGCCATGCTTGGCTCGAATCTGGCCCCTGGGCGTGCCCAGCGTGCTCCCGCCAGCTGGGGTCTCTCTTCTGTTAGGGACGGCTGTGTCCCAGGAACCCAGAGTGAGTGGAGGCTCCCGATGGCTGGGTGGCCGGGCTAGACCCCCACGCAGGACCTCTACCCATAGCTCTGGCCCAGCCGCCCCAGGTCCCTCCTTGCCCTGGAGCCTGGCTTTGGTCTGCTCTACTCAGCCCTCCCTCTGAGGGTGGGGACCATGCAGAAGCGTCATCCCAGGCCAGTAGGCAGAAAGGCAGGTGGTGTCTCCCCACCAGTCTCTCCCACCAACCACTGCTTTGTCATCTGCAAAGGGCAGGCTTGGCCTGACTTTAGACAAATTCTTGGGACGTGCAGCACTGGAGGGAGGGTGGACAGAGCCCGGTGGCTGTCACAGCAGGAGGGCGCTTACCCGCCACCACACAGCCAGGGCTGGTGCAGAACTCGTCCACCTCTGCGGGCTCCAGGAGGGCTGTGAGGAGACTTGGAGTGAGTATAGGGCGCAGTGGGGTGGTGGTGGTCCCCCAAACCAGGTGAGCGTGGCCCTCCACCTGGTGGGAGTGTCCTCCACAGGGTGGGGGGCCTCAACCCTGCCTCTCTCCACTGAAGGTCAGAAGCACACCCGGCCCCCTGAGGGGAGCCCTGGGCACTGGGAGTCCCATCTTACTTCTCCGCTTACTGCACAGTAGCCAGGCCTTGGGGGGGGGGTGAGGCTGCCCACGCCCTCCCGCCAACGACCTGCTCCTCCTGCCCCCCCGGCCCCCCCCCCCCCCCCCCCCACGCCCGCCGTGCCTCGCTCGGCTTTCAGGAGCGAGGCTCCCGGTCCCTGCCCCCCCCCCCCCGCTGCCCGTGGTTGGAGTCTCGCCCAGAAAGCATCCTGCACCCAGCAGGCGCTCATGTTGGTGGCCTCGCCCCCTTCCCTCGGCCCTGTGCTCTTCCCGTGCACACAGAGAGCTCCCTGTTCCTTCACAGAGCCCCCCAGGCCCAGCCGCCAAGCCCCCCTCCTCAGGCCGCCTGGAAGGGAGGCAGGGGCTACCTCGGGGTTCTCGTTTTACAGCTGTCCTCTCTTCTGGTGAGGAGCGCTGCCGGCTAGTAAAGAGGGGCAGCTGCTTCCCTGGGGAGAGACACAGCGCTCAGCTCGCCCTGGGCCCTTGGGGGCTCCCCACAGCACTGGTGCTGCTCCCACCCCACGGCCGGCTGGCCAGTGGGGAACCCCTATGCCAGGGCAGACCCCAAGAGCCTGCTGTCTGCGTCCCACTGGGCGTGGGCGAGAGGCCAGAGGCCCTGGTTCGCCCATCTGCCAAGCCCCCCAGGTGGGCAGCTCCTGGTGTCCCTCCAAGACAGGGAGAAGCAAGGCCTTCTCGGGGAGGTGACCCCTGGCATCTGGGTCCCTGACATCTGTGCCTTCAGTGTTGCTGAGGGTTCCAGGCGGCCTCCTCACCCCTCAGCATCCGGCAAGTTGCCAGCTGCGTGGAGGGGGCTGTGGGGCGCAGGAGCTGCCTCAGGTCTGGCGTGAGAGCAAGCTGGCCTGGTGGTCCTCAGACCTGGCCTGTGGCTGTTGCTCCCCACCCAGGAGGCCCGCCCTCTGTGGAGGCAGGCACCAAGACGTTGTCTGCCACAGCAGAGGGAGTTCTGCAGATGTGGCGCTCACCGCTTCTCACTGTACCAAGCTGAATGAGGTGGAGAGGCCACGACGCCAGAATTCTCAGAAACTACCACATCCACATAGGGCCGAGCCCTTCCCATGAGCGCAGAGGGTGGTCTCAGCCCTGGGCCAGGGCACGAGGAGGGGTGGTCTGAACGGGAGGAACCCTTGACCAGCCATGCCCCTGCCCAAGAGCCAGGGCGAAAGCTGGGAATCTGGGGAGCCAGGCTCCAGAGGTGTCTGTACCCTCTGAGGTTCTTTCTCAGGGGACCCTCAAGGACGCGGTGCAGCTCCCACCTGGCAGGGCAGGCAGGAAAGCTGCGGGCCAACTCCTGACAGGAGAGCCCAAGCGAGGAAGGCCCAGCACAGCAAAAGAAATGGGCTTATGAGGATCCCGAGGCACAGGCAGCAGGGAGTGGCTGGAACAATGACAGGGCTCACAGAAGAGTGGAAGCTGTGTCGCGATTGGGTGGGTATCGCTAGATAAATGGAGAGGGCAGGAAAGAACATGCCGCAGCTGCCACAGAAGCAGCACGGAAGCGTCCGCGCCGTGGGTGTAACGCGCAGCTGAGTATCCTAAGAGAAAGGATCAGCAGCTGTCTGCTGACAAGATGCGAGCGAAACATACGGTGAGCGGTGAGCGTTCGCACTTAAAGCAGCTGTTGGGACCAGGGGACAGGAAATAGCTTCCTGCTGTGTAAGGGACAGACCAGGAGAGCTCGGTCCCAGGGTCCCTCAGGGGGGATCGCCTCAGGGCGGGAGAGCTTGTAAGTCCTGCCTGCTCTGGACCTGCAGGGCCAGCTCCTAGTCACAGCCTCTTGACATAAGCTAGTACAAGGCGGGATCTGGATGCAGGCACTCAGGGGACAGGCCTTCACCTGTTCCCTTTGAAATGCTAAACCCATCTCCATTTTATGACCCTGTCCTGATCCAAGAGAAGCACATTGCCCCTGAGCTTCACTTCAGTAGCCACCGGCAGCACCGAGATCACCGAGTCAGTCTCCCGGGCAGCACCGAGATCACGGAGTCAGTCTACGGAGATGAGCGCCTCCCGGTGCCCCACACCAAAAGAATATTGTCTCTAGTCTTTCTTTATTCCCTGCTCAGGCGTCCAGGGATCTGATCAGCCCGAGCAATTACTTTAGGAGACACAGTGCTGCTACGAATCACCCTCAAAATCACCCACTTTGCTTTGAATGTGCCAATCCCACGTTTTTGCCATGCTCTGAAGCAGGTCTGGAGTTGTCCTTCCTAGAGTCTTTTCAAGGCGTGATCAAAAATGTGGGAATGCAGCTGCAAAATGCCATCGGATGAAGGGCGGTCTCGGGCAGCATCGTGCCCTGTCCTCAACCATCTTATTCACCGGATCAGGCAGCGCACAACTTCTGGCTTCTCCCCCAAATCAAAATGACCAAGACAGGGCTGGTGAGATGGCTCAGTGGTCTAAAGCACTTACTTAGAACAAGCTTAGCAAAGCACAGGGGACCGCGGTTCAATCCCCCAGCACCACATGCCAGCCAGCCCCGCCCCCTGGTGGGCTGAGCTGGCCGCACACACACAAAATAAATAAATAAATAAATAAATAAATAAAATTTTTTAAAAAATGACCAAGACGGGTAGACGCTGTAACCTACTTGGGACACAGAGGACTCAGGACCCAAAGACTCTCAGGAAGAGGCACGAGGACCAGACCTGGGGGTGCATGCCCGTGATCCCAGTGCTCTGGAGGCTGAGGCAGGAGGGTCGCTGTGAGTTCGAAGCCAGCCTGAATTACATAGTGAGACTCAGTCTCAGAAAAAAAAGTAAGTGCCAAGAATGATGGCATATGTGTGTCAGAAGTGAGGAAGAAGTGGATTATGAGGGAGATTAACAGCAATATGACTTTCACAGTAATGAAGTTCCAAATAAATTCACCATGTTTTTTTCAGTCATGTCACATAGATGAGTATAAGCTGTCCAAATTGAAACACAAAGGAACACGATCAACCAGAACAGGGAAACACAGACAAAAGCTTAGAGGTTACTTCACAGTGAGAACAAGCTGCTCCCCCAAGAGCGGGACGAGGTGAGGGTGTCCTCCCTGGCCCTCCTGGCCACTGCTGCGCTGGATGCCCCCCAGCCCTGTGAGACAAGAGGGAGTGGAAGGTAGACACGGAAAAAATCACATAGGAATCTAATAAACCATGTATGGGACTCGTATGTGGTAACAATGAAATAGCAATTCATTTTTCAGAACTGGGGATTGAACTCAGGCCCTTGCGCTTGCCAGGGAAGTGCTTATTCTACTGAGCCATCTCCCCAGCCCTGAAACATCAATTTTTTAAAAATCACATATATGAATAAATGGAGAGGTGTTCTATGTTCATGGGCTGGAAGATTAACTCTTCTAAGCTCTCAGTTCTTTCCAACTCAGTCTGTAGACTGAGCAGCACTCTGACCAAGTCCCACATCAACAAACCATTCTAAAGTTTGTACAGCGTGGGAAAGATCTAGGACGGCCGGGGAAGTAGTGAGCATGGCGGGGCTGGAAGAGTGCCCCTGGGAAGACTCCGGCAGGCCACAGGTCAGCGAGGTTGTGGAGTGTGGATGGGAGGGCGCTCACAGAGGAAACCAGGTCTGGGGGGCAGAAAGGGGCCACGACCAGACTGGCACAAGAGTCCCCTGATCTTTACAAGAGGAACAAAATTCGTGTGGTGGGGGAGGGGAGTGTCCAGTGGGTGACACGGGACACACAAGCCACGCTCGCCGTGGACTCGCCTCACGCAGAAACTAACTCAGCTTGAGTGCACCACGCAGAACTTTCTCCCACCTGAAGAAGCCACGAGTGGGCTCAGCTCGGTGGTGACTCAAAATGCGAAGCAAATAGTGTGATTCTGGAATAGCAAGAGATTGATACGAGGTGTTAAGAGCTTCAAACTCCTGCTCTGTGAAGGAGCCATTAAGAGAACAAGAAGATAAGCCACAACTGGGAGAAAAGATTTGCAAAGAATCCGTCTAACTCTATCCAAAATGTATGAAGAAGCACTCCAAACTCAACAGTCAGGAAGCAAACCACCCAGCTGGGACTGGGTGAAAGGTCTGAAAATGGCGCCGCCCCAGAGGCAACGTTGGGTGTCATTTGCCACTGTGGAAACGCAAATTCAGACCCCAGAGAGGTCCCACCACCTGTCTGCAGAGGAGAGTTACAGACGGACAGACGGACGGACGGAGGGATGGGAGGCCCACGCGGCAAGGGGCAGAGGTGGAGGACCTCCCACTGCTCTGAGGCTGCCTAGCAGGGCAGTCACCTTGGCGGAAAGCTTTTTACAGCACTCAGCGTAATGTGGTCGGGGGTCACACCTGTACCCAGCAGGTGTGGCGAAGCAAGGAAGGGGGGCGGGTGACGCGGGGGTGGGGGACGCGGGGGGCAGTGCTCAGAAGCTCCTGCTCAGCCCTTGAGGGTGCTGGTGCTGCATGCAGCGGCATGAGAGACATGTGCGAACACGCGTGCTCACATGCGTGCACACGCGCGCACACACACTCCTTGTTCCACCAGCTCACACACTCAAAGCCTCGACACCCCAGGAGTGGCAGTGGGCATGGCTGCAGCCAGAGCTTGGTTTCTAATTTTGTTATCCAATAAAGGGGACCAAGACTTTTTGGAAAAATGGTCAGTTCTACAACTGGGCCAGGAAGTACACAGGGTGAGCCTGGGGTCTTTTGCAGAGGTACAAACGAGAAAGCTCTAACCATAGTCTCTAAAAACCCCCAATGGCATGACAGAGGAATGGCAAGCCTTGTGCAAGCCAACCAGCAGAGATTATGGTAGAGGTGGGATAATCCAAGCACCAAATGAAGCCGCACCGGATCACGGCCCAAAGCACAGACTAAGCACTGACGCGTCCGTACCCGGCGGGGCATTCTGCGGTGTGCCAGCCAGCACTATCAGGGTCACAGCAATAAAACAAGGAACAGGGCCGGGGAGCTGGCTCAGTGGAATAAGTGCTTGCCTGGCAAGCGCAAGGGCCTGAGTTCAATCCCCGGTTCCAGCAAAAAATAAAAAATAAAACAAGGAACTATCACGGCCAACAGGCGCCAAGGAAGGCTTGACCACCAAATGCAGTGCAGCGTGCCAAGCAGTGTTCTGGGGCAGGAGGAGCACACCGAGGGAAAGCCTGCAAGCCGGAAACACCCGGATTCTGTTACTGCTAATATTTCAAGACTGGCTCGCTACTTGTGCTAAAGGCTTGATGTTCATATGATCCTAATAACAGAGGAGGGCTGGGGAGATGGCTCAGTAGAATAAGCGCTTCCCTGGCAAGTGCAAGGGCCTGAGTTCAATCCCCGGTTCTGCAAAATACAAAACAAAACAAACAAACAAACAAAAAAACAGAGGAGGCTGACTGTGGCAACATAAGAACTCTTACTATCTTTGCAATCATTTTGTAAACTTAAAGCTGTTTTGCAGTTGTACAATATGACTTTAAAAA